CCCCCAAAACCCCAAAACCCCAAAACCCCAATAGTTATTAAGGATTGAATTTGGAATTTATTATAAAATAAATGGGCAAAATCTTCATCTTGTTCATCGCTCTTATCGCCTTCAGTCATGCTGAACTGAAAGGAGTACAGGACCTAAAATTCTTAACTCCTTTGCAACAAGACTATGTTGGTGATATCTCAGAATATGTTGGAAACGCAATCATGAGGTACAGAGAGGTTGCTAAAGACGGCCATTCACTTTTTGGATTTGAAAGAACCCTGGGATTCTTGTGGCAGAATCCACTAACTTGCGGAGTCTGTCATTCCACTCTTCCTGCTTTGGACTTTCTTATCGACAACTCTATTGTTACTCCAGGCTTAGAGAAAATCATAGCTTACTTCTGTGGAAAATCTCTGGCTTATGAAGTCTGCCTCGGGGCTATCCAAGAAATGGGTAGCATCATTGTACCAGAGGTTATGAAGTTTTTGATTGGTCCAAAGTATGCATGCTCTAGACTTGTAGGAGTGTGCAAAAACCCTCATTTCAAAACTGCTGATCCTCAAGACTATATCGATAGAGTTCTCTCTGATAAGCCTGATTTCATTAAGGATAATGATTATGTCAATGCTCAATATAGGAAAATAGCTGCTGATCCTAACCCGAGGAAAACTGTGAAAGTACTCCATTTGTCAGATATTCATCTCGATTTTGAATATAAGGAAGGAACAAATGCACATTGTGATGAGCCCCTCTGCTGCAGAGAAAGATATGGACCAGCTCCTACACCTGAGGCAGCAGCTGGTAAATATGGAGCACTTGCTGATTGCGATATCCCTGTGATCACTGCAGAGTCAGCTTTTAAGTTCCTTAACAATATGGACGAGAAACCTGATCTGATATTCTGGACCGGTGATAGTACTCCACATGATATCTGGAACCAGACTGTGGAGAGGAATGCTCTATATGCTACTAAAATTAGCGAGTTTTTGCAAGTGCATCTTCCAGATGTCCCTGTATTCCCAACTCCAGGGAATCATGAGTTCTTCCCAGTTAATGTAATGAGCTATGATGAGCAAGATCCTTTCCTTAAAAAGATTGCATCAGTTTGGAAACATTGGCTCGATGAAGAAAGCTTTGAACTTTTTGAAAAATATGGATATTATTCAATGCCAATGAAAGGAATGAACAACTCTTGGGAAAATGTCAGAGTCCTTTCTATTAACACTGAAGCTTGTAACGGCCAAAATTGGTACTTGATTTCTCAAACTAACGACCCAGGAAATATGCTCGCATGGATGGAAGAAGAATTTAAGAAAATGGAGAAATCAGGCGAGAAGGCATTCATCATTGGGCATGTTCAACCAGGAGGCGGAACTTGCCTAAACGCGTGGTCTGAAAGATATAGAGCTTTAATGGAAAGGTATCAACATCTCATCCTTTCTAACTTCTTTGGACATACTCATTCAGAACAGATTTCTTTAATCACTGACACTAAGAATCAGAGCGCAATACACGTATATCATGCTCCTGGGAGTTTGACTACTTACAGTAGCCATAACCCTCAGTTCAGAATTTTAGATATAGACTATGCTACAGGATATCCTGTGAAAGCCCATAAATACTTCTTTAACATTACAGAAGCTAATCTTGGAAATCCAGAATGGAAGGAGCAATATGAGCTTACTGAGGAGTACGAAATGAAGGATTTCTCACCAGAAAGTTTCTACAATCTCACTCTCAGATTTAGAGATGTTCCCGGGGTTGCATCTAGATACAAATGGAATGTAGGCGGCAGACCTTACCCACTCAGCCATTACAACTGTAACTCAGCTGGATGTATGAAAGGTCTTTATTGCACTGTTAGAAACTTCCTTAACTTTGAGTCAAAGGATTGTAGAGGAAGTAAGAGATATGATTTCAGAAATAACCTTGCTGATTCAGTCGCTGAGATTGCTCTGAACCCATTTTTAGAGCATGTTGAATAATATCGATATTCAATAACCTAGTAATATCACGGGGTTTTGGGGTTTTGGGGTTTTGGGGTTTTGGGG